TTTGCATCTCTGGTGAATTTTTGGAATTTTTTTAAAAGGAAGTTATTTGAAAATAATTACATGTCGTTTACAAAGTTACACTAAAGTATCTCTACTATTCTCTTTCAGTAATTAACTGTTTCCTGGAGAAACATTTCCCTCCATTCTTTTCTTAATTACCCACTGCTCCTTTTCAGAATACACATTTTCCATATACCAAGCACTGCATATTTTTACTCTATTTGCTCCCTAAATGCCAGTCATACACCATCATTACCCGCATTTAGTCTTGCTAATAACTCAAAGGCCCACCTATTTAATCCCTATGAAAATACAAACTGACATCCATTCTCAGGCAGTAGCCTCTGTTTTGACAGCCAGGGCACTGAGCTGCAATGTATTTTTAAAAGCCTCTTATAGGAAAAGCACTAACTTGTAGTTTAAATAAACTTTCTCAATGCCTAACATGTTACTCTGTGAGCTGTAGAAGATTACATTTCTCATCAACATGTGACCGGAAATCTCAAAGAAAAGTAATGCAAATCCCTTTTAATAGTGATATGCTAAAAGAAGCCCTACAAATTGGACAAATAAACTAAATTATGGGTATACTTTCACTGTTTATTTTAAATTAAAGGCAGACATTGCTATATTGGAATTATGATCTGTTTGGGTTCACACTTTTCCCCCCTTTGTTTCTTACAAACCTGTATTTTAAATTGAAATTAACCAACCGATGTCCAAATACTCACAGCTCATAAAGGCAGTCACCAATAAAATCATAATACATTTCACGTAGCAGACAAAACTGCCAGGATAAATAAGTAGTCAGTGTTTATGACATTATAAAAGAAGCCGTTCATAGGTAGCATCTGTGTGACTGACTCAAGCACATTAACCATTAGGAAAACTATGAGTCAAAGTGTCAATATTAGGCACTGCAAAGGAAAAAGCAACACCTTTAAGATTCTGCAAACGTTTATACAGCATATATAGATTATGTTGATTTTTAAACAGAGTGTCCAAGAAAGTGCTCATAAGCTGCTCTCCTTTTTGCAATTTCAAACACGTCAGCATCAGGTGTTATATATAGTGAACAGCCACAGCAGTGTTCAGCCTACAAGGGTTTTTATAACAGTTGAGCCGGAAGATGAGCCACTCTTTTTGACTCAGGGGCAAGACTGATTTTTGGCTGAGTGAAGGTCAAAATTATGAATAATTTATGCACAGCTGGTTGCTAAAAGTAGAATTCTAATACTGAACTGCTGATAAATCAGTTAAAACTCAACATATCTACCTCCGAACAGGGGGCAACATGCAAATTGGTGAGTGCTAAGCCTCTTTGCTTCAATCCATATCAGGAGGCAAGGATGACAGGAGAAAAGACCTTTACCAGATGCCATATGATTACTTCTTTACATGAAGCCACAGCAGCAAATGGTGAGTTATTTAACATCCCATTCACAATCAAATTGCTAAGCGACATGCACTGCTAACAACAATTTTGTTACTATCGGTGTCTCTTATTCAAAAGTACAGAATACTAGTGCATCCCTCAGCTCTCCTTAGACTATTAGGAAAACAAACACAGAGAATGAAACTTACAGAAGGGAAGAGAAAGTTACTTACCTTATAGTAACCGGAGGTTCTTCGAGATGTGTGCCCCCCCCCCATCTGTATTCCATTGGGCATATGCAGGAGCTCTACATGCCAGGAGCCACAGAATTTTGAAAGCAGTGTCCAGTGGTCCGCATATGCATCCTCACTCACCTTGTGCCTCCAACCTAGGAGGTACAGGAAGGGGCAGACTGACAGCCTCTTCAGTTCCTTCTCAGTCACGAACCAAAAGATGGTCCAAAGCAGAGGGGAAGGAGGATAGATAGCAGAACACAGACAAGGACCACACATCTCAAAGAACCTTCAGTTGCTATAAGGTCTCTTCTTCTTCAAGTACTGGTCCCTGTGGGTGACCAACAAGCAGTGCTCAAGTAGGAGGAGGGTGTGAGGACACAAGCGGCAGAGCTGAATGAAGGACCACCATTCCAACGGATACATCAGCGGAGGAATCTTACACCAAAGCATAAAGTCTTACAAACATGTAAGATATCAAGTAGATGAACTTCTTGAAGCAATATCATAGATGTTGCTTCCACTCTTGTGGAATGGGGCCTTGCCCCATGAAGGGGAGAAAGATTAGACAGCTGACGACAGAGCAAAATACAGCCTTAGATCCTTTAAGAGGATACAGCCTGACCATAATCTCTTACTGCTAAGGCAACAAATACTCTGGTAGACTTTGTTCTCTACATGTAAAAGGCCAAGGCTCATGGAGCAACAAGGGGATGGAGCCTCCTTTCTTCTGAGGATGCATGAGGTTTTGGAAAGAACATATTTTTTGTACTGCCCTAAGGCTCAGATTTGAAAGACTCTGGAATCATAGGTTTAATTACTAGCATAATCAGTTTATCCCTTCAACCTTCCCAACTATTAAAATTGGGTTTCCTGAAATTCTTTGTGTGGGTCTTTCAAATGAGACCTTAAAACCACAGGATGTTGGTGCTTATTGGGGACGTGAAAGAGTCCATGGAAGAAAAAGATTTGAGCCTCAGTATTCTTGGGCAAACTCTCCTTTTCCTCCACTGTTGTGTAGTGTGCCAGTTATCCACCTGGTTTCCATCCTCCTGCAGCATTCACATAGCCTCAAATTCTGTTTCTAGCACTTCACCCTCCAGAAACTCAGGGCCCAATAAGTACGAGCAACAGAGAGCAGGATCCTTTCCCCCGTGCCTACAGATTTGTGTTCCTCAGGGGTTTTATCATCCAGAATGCTGCAGGATGTATGTTGGGGGCTGACATAGGAGGCATAGAAAATGGGTCCATCACCTGTACCCACCAGCCAAACTTCTTTGTGAGGGGCAGAGAAGATTTAGACACTATATAGGCGACTGCAGCCACTTTGACCCACAGTCTACGGAGAGCCTTCCATTCCACTGGGCCAAACAAGGCACCTTGCTACTTGAGCCTTACATGGGAAGTCAGGATTTGCCCCATAATTTGTAATGGGCTTTTAGACCCCTTTGGAAAAGAGAAAACTTAATATAAAATATTGTTTTCTGCAAACTGAATGAAGACAATGAAGAAATAGCAGGGATGTTTAAGTCAAACTCAGTATCAACTGGAAAAGTCACCCATATCCTAGTGTTGAGAGAGGAATGCGTTTGCAGATGTGTGTTGCACTGAAGACACTTTTTTCTTTTCGCATCCTGACAAATGAATAGGAAACTTCATTCTTCTGAGGTTTCCCACCTCCCTCAGTTTTCAACTGTATTGTGTAACATGAGTGTACTGTGTAACATGAGTGTTTTATATTTTTGCACTATACACTTGCAGGTGTGATCTGACTGCATTTTCCTTGTGCTGACTCTTTAAGGCACTTTGGTGGGTTATTCACACTGCAGCACCTCATAGATACACTTCACAAATAATTTTTTTAGAGATTCATTCTGGTTTCCTCTTTTCTTATTCCATCTTTTGAGGCTTTAGTTTGCAGTTTTCAGATAAAGCATTTGCAATTAATTCATGCTTTTGTTCATTGCATTTGTTGCAATGAACATATGCAGGAAAGGGGATCAGCTTCTAATAACTCAAAATTTACTTTTTTGTTATTTCCTCTTCTCCTTTCTCCCAACACTGACCAACATCTGTTCCCTCAACTGCACTCAATTTATTATTATGATAATGAGATATAACTCGAGGACTTCTATCTGTTTAGCATTTTCCCATGGGTTAATAAGAAATTAACTGAATTCTTAACGTGTTATCACAGAGTGTAGCTTGCTGCCCTACTCAAGAAATCAGTTTAGTAATACTAAATTTTTAAAAATTATTAAAATTTTTGGATTTCCTAGAAGACTAGTTTGAAAAGCTGCCTGAGGAATATTTTTAAATAAATTCTAAATTCACACTGACAGGACTTCAACTTCCTGCTCCTAATAAAATAAACAAAAAGTTACACCAAAGCCTTGCATCGTTTCATTAATTTTTTTCTGTAGCTGTCCCTCAACAGTTTTCTATGTTTTTATTAACTCCATGGTGCTGCAGACTTACCAGCAAGTGCAGATCCTAACATATATTATGGTATGGCTAGTAGTTGGAAGCATGGGGACTTCTCATCTCCCATGGCCAAAGTGTTAATGTTTGCCTCAGAGTTTGACATTTGACCAGAATGATTTGTAGCAATTTGACAAAAACACCATTAGATTTCAGATTTCACTTTCAACCTTATACTGAGGCTCAAAAGCTCAAGTGCTAATGCTATAGTAAGGAAAGTGACCTTAAACATTTCTGCTCTTAAGCCCCCCTTATCCTGAAAACTGCTTCGTGTAGGTGTAAATGCAAAGAGCAAATGCTTAGGTTTGTCTAAGAGTTAAGAAAGTAATTTAAGACCAAAGAAGTACCATTTAATGGTCAGGGTGTAGGCCTGGAAGCCAGGAAACCTTGTCCTGGGTTTTGGATATGGCCACACTACTTCCATGGCTTTGGACTGTGTCACTGTGCTCCTTCTCCCTGGCCCCTCCCTGCATCTATAAGACAAAGGTCTTGTCTACACACAGAAGTTACACTGATCGATTTAAAAACAGTTTTAAGATAAATCTAGTTACACTGGTGCAAATCAACATATAGACATTTTAATTTTGGTTTAAGACCAAAATATTTCCAATTACCTTAAATCTATCCCTAACTGATTTATGCTAAACCAAAATAAATCTGCTAAAAATCAGTTAAAATCAGTTCCAGTGAACCCACAGCAACTCTCTCATGTAGAGGAGCCTACAGATGATAATAAGAACACTCACAGTACTTTCTGCCTCACAAGGTTGTTCTGAGGGAATGTCTGAGGGCATTCCAAAGATGAATAGTACCATGGAAGTGTTAAGTGATATTATTAATAAACATAGGTTTTGCAGGACAAATCATTGCTATGGTAAAATCTGTGTATGTTACAAATTACAGTACAGTACCTTCTGTCATTCCCATGCCACTAGGGGGCTTGCAGTGCCCAGCATGGCTCACAACCCAAACTGGATATTGCCCGTTTAGTCCATGGTATAATGCCCGTATGAAGGTCCTGTAATAGCCTGCCAGTCCTGGGTTACCTGACAAGAGAAACACACAAGTGTGTTCATGTTGATCTTACAACAACTGACAAACTACAACACAGTTCTGTATGAAACAAACATTTGGTGTGTCTTCTTATGTCTCATACCTCTGATATTTTTACAGATATGTACACCTTATTTCGCTACAGTATCAAACTGCTTCAATTCTACTGACCCTGGGTACTGTGTATCTTGACAAGCTGAGAGTAACCACAGTGAAAAGTGCACTGCTACCCAAATGGAAAGCAATAACGCTTTTTCCATTGAAGGTCAAGCTGCTTTCCCTGTCCATCCTCTTGATTTCTGTTAACTGTGTCTGAAAACTCATACAAATTATACCTACCTTATGTATTAACAAATATCAATGACAATATAAAGTTAGCTCTGGGGAACCCACTGATGAGTGCAGAATGAAAATATCACAACGATTTCTCCATATCACACTGATGTAGATACTAGAGGTTCTGCTACTCCATTCTCTGAAACTTCATAATATTCCTTTATCTCTTCAAAAGCTGATTTGTGTCACATTGGGAATGTGAAGGTATTGCTTGGTCCAGCAAAAGAATGAGACATTTTTCTACCGTGTCCACACTGGCAGCTCATTAGATTGCATGAAATCTGTTGTGCATGCAATCTCAACTCTGGTATTTCCTGCCTTTTCAGTGATTAATTTTGCAACCTTCGTGTTAAATTAACATAATCATTTCACACGAAGGGTTATGCTATTTGGATGAATGTAGCTGCATGATGATGGCAATGCAGCATCACAATGCCTACAACTTAGAAGCAGCTTTCAAGAATATTTCAAGATGAAGCACCGTAATATATTTTTTTTAATGATCACCAATATGTATTTAAAAAATACAGGCTAGTATTTTCAAATACTCCAAGAGACTAACTCCCATTGACACTGAATGTGATTTAGATGCCTAACTCCCTGAGGTGCCTTTGAAAATTCCATTCATAATATGTATTGTTTTTAGGGACATATCATGAAACCCACACTCAACATTCACTAATTCCATTTCTCAGGCTAAACTCCCAGACTTTGGAAACTGACTGAGGAATTCAGAATATGGCCCATTAAAAAGGTGCAGAGTACACCATTACATTAAGTGTATATCAGCAAATCTTCCTTCAGTAGCACTTGAAGTGTGGATGCTATCCGTAGAACACCACTTGGAGCTCCTCTGCACACAAAAATTGTACAGCAGTAACTATACCATACAGCACTATTTTCGTAGATGCAGTCGTGCTAGTATAAAGGCGCCAGAAGGGAAATAATCCTGGTATATGGCTCCTTTAGATCAGCATAACGGTGTCCACACTAAGGGTTGTGCCAATTATTCTGATAAAAATACCCAGACCCCTAAGCAAAATAGTTATACAGGTACAAAAATTGTGTGTAGATCACATCTAAGTTTATTCCACCTCCTTCTCTTTCTGTGCCGCATATTTTCATTTATTTTAAATCTCTCACTTTAGCCCTTTTATTCTTCAGGTATTATACAGTAAATACAGTGCCCTGCAAAGAGGTGTTCTCTAGAAAATATGTCGAATGTGCACTTTCTTCTTCACTTATCTATAAGCTAATTGCTTGTGCTAGGCCTGACTGTTTGAGGTTTAATAGAAGTACTATTCTAAAAATAAGTGTATTGTTACTAAACTGTACAGATCTAACCAGACTTCCCTCAACACTATTTTCTGTATTTCAAGCCCATTATGTACATTAGCAAAATTACAATGCAAACAGATAAAAATATTGTGTATATAATCAAAGGAGCACTACAAGGTTTATATTAGCACCTGGGAAAAAATTAATTAGGAAAAGTTAAAAATGTGTCCATTTCTCAATGTCTAGATTCTATACAACTGAGCTATATTGTATGTGTCAAATAAAACAAAAAAAATTGGATTTTTGATGAAACAATTATTTATGAGAAAATAAAAACAGATGCAAAAATATATACCACAAAAATGCTTTAATTATACAGCACTCCTTAAAAATGCTTCATGTAGAGAGGCAGAAAGATATTGAAAAGGACTCTAGGCACCACTTGACAAACATCTTGAACTCACGTTACAAAAAAGGAAGTCTGTCTTTCAGCAAGATGGAAGATGAAAGTAGCTACCCAAAGATATAGTGTATCTGGTCACTGAGAAATGTTCCTGCATTATACTTCAACTCTGAAATACAATGCATTAAGGTGTTTTATGGTCAAGGAATCCAGTTAACCTCAAAGCAGATATTTTCCTCTCTGAATGCTTCCAATATCCATTTTCAACCAGTTTCTATTTTCTTTATTAACTCAAAAGCAACCAAAGAGGAAAAAAAAAATCTGACAATGTCCAGAGCTTTTACACATTCTCTCCCATCATCAACTAGGGCAGCTAGTATGAAAGTATTCTCATGCTTCAGTCACCCGCTGAAGAATAGTGAAAGTTTGAAGTGTTTATAGGGTACTTGTCAGGCTTTGTGTTAAATCCTCTATATAGCTCACGGCACCTGTGACTAATGCCTTTCTGAGACAAAGGAGATTTCTATCCTCTGATAAATGGAGTTGCTACCTGAAGTTTATTTTAGACAGGGAAGAGAGATAAGATCCATAAAAAGCAGGCAACTGCGCCCCATGCCGAACCCTCATTTTAAGCACCTGCTTAGGATAAAAGAAATACTGTGCAGTCAATTATAAAAACAGCTACTGATACTTAAAAATGTCTTGGAAGGGTAGAAATGAGAACCGTTGCCACAAAGTGACCTTCTTAATAAGAGAAATCAATAGCATGTCAAGGTTTTAAACCAACAAAAAGCAGTGGAGAGAAATTCCATAGCGAACGGAAGAATAGTTATAAACAAATTGTTTATTGAGCTTTCAGTTCCACTGGAGTTACTCCAGATTTGCAGCTGTGTAACTGACAGCAGAGTATAGCACCTCGCCCACCATCGAAAAGCCACGAGGCCGAAGCCTTAGAAGTGCAAAATGGAAGCTTCTCAGGGTATTCTACAATGCAGCTGGGACACACACAGGGTATGCCTATAATCTGAGCATGGGTAGATAGAGACACAATAGCTCTACTCAAGCTAGCATGCTTGAATACAGCAGTATAACTGGGGTAGGGTATGCAGTAACTTGAGCTAGCTGCTCAAGTGCACAACCAGGGGGTCCGGGTGGGCTTGTACTCAGATGGCACCACCTATGATACCCCAGCTACACAGTTATATTTAGCGTACTAGCTCAAGCAGAGCTAACATGTGTCTGTCTACCACACCGGGAAGCACACTCCCAGCTGCGCTGTAGACAAATTTAAGCATCCACTTGAGGGTAACATTTGCAATCCCCAAGCCCAGTGGAGTTTACTACCTATTGCATTTCTACACGCCAGCATAATGTTCAGCAGCTTTACATGGTCAGTCTGAAAGACACAAAAGGTGTCTGTCAATAAAGGAGACAAGGGGGTGGGTTGTTGTTTTTAGTGCAAAGGGAATCTAAGCAAAGCATTTCCATGCATTACAATTACAAGGTAACAAATGTTTCCTAGGCAGGAGTATCATATCAATGAAAGACAATGGGTTTTAGTCTGTGCATTAAGAAAAGGAGTACTTGTGGCACCTTAGAGACTAACCAATTTATTTGAGCATAAGCTTTGTGAGCTATACTCACTTCATCGGATGCATGCAGTGGATCCGATGAAGTGAGCTGTAGCTCACGAAAGCTCATGCTCAAATAAATTGGTTAGTCTCTAAGGTGTCACTAGTACTCCTTTTCTTTTTGCGAATACAGACTAACACGGCTGTTACTCTGAAGTCTGTGCATTGGTTTGGGACCAAAATACGTAGTTTTAGGAGCTCTTCTGTTGCAACAAAAATATTACCTAATTAAACAATTTAAATTGTATCTACCTTGGGGGATGAACTGCCAAGTTTATCACAATGGTAAATGCCCCTGGAGCAATGCACTACTGCTCATTTGTCCATTCTACAGATTTCCCAATAGCATCAAAACAAAAACCACGCAGCATATCTCCATTTCTTTATCTCAGCAAGTAACTGTTGAAAAATGGAAACCCTGAGTGAATGCAATACGCTGTATCAACTTTCACCCTTTGCAGGGTACTCAAGTTTATTGGAGCAACACATCATTTCTCAGCCACCTCAGGGCAACTGAATCATTCATGTATGGTAACAGTTTCAAGTTCCAAAGATTAATCAATACGAAGAAGCACATATTAAGCAGATGTCCCCAACTGTGCTTTCTTTGTTATGGCTTTTATATTTTCAAAAATATCAAATCAATTATTGATAAGGAGTGAACACAACAGAAACAAATATTTTGATTTTGTTTTCTTGGATTAGTCTACAAATTTGATTGATAAAGGTAATCCTGTTCATGGGAATACTTAGACTTCCGTAAGGTGTTTGTTTGGGTACAGCACAGCATTTTGATTAATAAATAAAATGATATAAAATTGACACACATTAAATGATTAAAGAGCTGGCTAACTGATAGACCTCAGAATGTAATTGAAAATGGGGAATCATCATCTAATGGGTGTTTCCAGTGGGGTCCTGCAGGGATGAGTTCTTGGCCCTGCGCTATTGAACATTTTTATTAGTGACCTGGAAGAAAACAAAACCATTGATAAAGTCTGCAGATGGCACAAAAGCTGGGTGAATGGTAATAAACTCACAGTTTCACAGGATTTATGGCCAGAAGGAACTATTTGATCATCTAATCTGACCTTCTGAATAAAACAGACCAGAGAATTCCACTCATTTACACTTGCATTTAACTCAATAAACTTTTGCATGGCTAAAGCGTATCATCCAGACACACATCCAATCTTGATTTAAAGATCTCAAGAGTTGGAGAATCCATCAAGTCCCTGGGTAATTTGTTCCAAATTGTTAATCACTCGCGTTGTTAGAAATGTGTGCTTTATTTTTAATTTAAATTTGTCTGGCTTTAACTTTCAGACATGAGTTCTTGTTATGC